TCCGGTCACCCACCCCTTGGTTGGTTTTGGGGGTGGGATGGTCTACCCAGCCGGAAGGATTGACTTACCCATCCGGCTGGGAGAGAAGGGCCAGGGACGACATATTGTCGTCAGATTCTTGGTCGTTGAGGAGTTGACCGCCTATAACATCATTCTTGGCAGGCCAACCCTCAACGTAGCCAAGGTAGTAATTATCCCGTCCCTCATGCTCATCAAGTATGAGAGGGATGACGACTCTGTTGGTTCCTTGAATGGGGATCAGAAGACGGCCCAAGAGTGCTATCTCTCAGCCGTCCGAGATACCGTGGCCCAGGCAGTTAGGAACCAATAGACCTTGACAATGTCAAGGATGCCGACCCAGCTCCTGCCCCACCAGCAGCCGGAAAGAAAAGAAAGGCTCCTCTGCTAATGGAGGTGAAAAAAGAGAAAAAATAGCAATCAATGACCGGTGAACGGTCAGATGAGCTCCGTCCTCAACCGGCTGGCGAAAGCATTGATCTCGTTCTGGATGACAGCTGTCCAGAACGTACTGTTAAGGTTGGGACGGTTGCTCATGCTACCTTGGGTGCAAGCTTGCACCTTCTGCTGAAGGAATTCAAAGAAATTTTTGCCTTTGAAGTTGAGGAGATGTCAGGCGTCAGCCCGGATCTTGCTGTCCAAAAACTCGCCGTGGACCCCAAAAAGAAGCCCATCCTGCAAAAGAAAAGAAACCACGGCGAGGAAAGAAGTCAGGAGGCAGCTGCCAAAGTCAAAAAGCTGCTAGACGCTAGGTTCATTCGGCCTTGTAATTTTCCCGACTAGGTGGCCAATGTGGTCCTTATTAAGAAATCGAATGGGACCTGGCGCATGTGTGTTGATTACACAGACCTCAACAAGGTGTGTCCAATGGACAGTTACCCGCTTCCAAAGATCGACAGTCTGGTCGATTCTACAGCCGGTCACGCCTTGATGAGCTTTATGGATGCCTACTCCGGCTTCCATCAGATACCCCTGTGGAAGAAATATCAAGAGAAGACGGCCTTCGTCACTGATCAGGGGCTATTCTGTTATACTGTGATGCCGTTTGGCTTGAAAAATGCGTCTGCTACTTTCCAACGGATGATTAATACGGTCTTCATTAATCAGATTGGGAAGAATGTGGAGGCGTACATTGATGATATGATAGTCAAATCCAAGCAGCAGGCGGATCACCTTGCTGACCTCCGAGAAACCTTCACCACACTCAGGCGGCATAAGGTTATGTTAAATCCTAAGAAATGCGTCTTTGGTGTTGAGTCTGGGAATTTTCTCAGATTCCTGATTGATCAAAGGGGGATAGAGGCTAACCCCGAAAAGATACAGGCGGTGATTGACATGAAGTCACCCCGTTCGGTCAAGGAAGTTCAGAGACTCACCGGTTGTCTGGCCGCCCTGGGGAGGTTCCTCAGCCGGTCAGGCGACAAATGCCTCTACTTCTTCCAAGCAATCAGGAAGAAGACTAGATTTGAATGGGGGGATGATGCTGAGGCGGCATTCCAGAGGTTGAAAGAGAATTTACATTCTTTGCCTAGGTTGGTCAGTCCTTTTCCTAGGGAGACGTTGTTCATGTATTTAGCCTTCTCAGACCATGCCCTCAGTGCCGTTCTCCTTGCTGAGCGAGACGGCGTGCAGCTCCCGGTTTACTTCATTAGCCATGTTCTTAAAAATGCTGAACTCCGGTACCCCATGGTTAAAAAACTTGGCCTTGCTTTGTATATGGCATTCAAAAAATTGAAGCCTTACTTTTTGGCACATCTGGTGGTGATCTACACGGACCAGCCACTCAAGCGGCCAATGTCTACCTTGGACTCATCCGGGAGAATGTTGAAATGGGCTATTGAAATGCAGAGCCTTGAAATCACTTACGAACCAAGAAAGGCAGTGAAAGGTCAGGCGTTTGCCGACTTCATTATTGAAATGACTCGTCCGGTGGCTCCGGATAATCTTGATCAGGTTTGGAAAGTGTACGTAGACGGGAGCTCTACAAAGAACGGTTGTGGTGCAGGCGTAATTTATGAGTCTCCTGAAGGAGACAGATTTGAATATGCACTACGCTTCAAGTTTCAAGCCTCTAACAATGAGGCGGAATATGAAGCCCTGCTAGCCGGCATACGCATGTGTAAGGCGGCAGGGGCCATGAAAATTGACGCCAACTCTGATTCTCAATTGGTTGTTAGCTAGTACGAGGGAAGTTATGAGGCTACCCATCCGGCTATGATCAAATATCTTAAGGCAGTCAAAGAAGAGGCCGGGGCACTTGAGGAATTCCGGCTGATTTAGGTGCCTAGGTCGGAAAACAACCAGGCGGATGCATTGTCAAAGCTGGCATCTTTCGCCTGCCATGATACGCCTTGGTCAGTCTTCTGGGAAGTTCTTGAAAAGAGAAGCATCTATGAGGATCCCGTTGGAATTCTGGACCGAAGCTCTACCTGGATGGATGGCATCCGGGCCTATCTCTCAGACGGCACACTTCCTGATTCGCCACAGGAAGCAGCCTTCCTGAAAAAGCGAGCTGTAAGATTCGAGTTGAAAAATGGAGAACTCTTCAAGGCGGGGTTTCTGAAGCCTTTGTTGAAGTGTGTCACCCCAGAAAAGGGGAAAGAAGTTCTCGAAGACTGGCACTCGGGATTCTGCGCCTCTCACATAGGCGGCAGGTCCCTAGCTGTCAGAGACGACATTACTTTTGGCCCACTCTTGAGGCAGACGCCAAGGAGTTGGTGAAACAATGTGACAAGTGCCAAAAATTTGGCAAACTCATTCACCGTCCGGCTACTGATCTGACGGGCATCCATAGCCCAATCTTGTTTGCAAAATGGGGCATGGACATTCTAGGTCCTTACACGCATGCTCCAGGCGGAAAGCGCTACATCTTGGTGGCTGTGGATTACTTCACCAAGTGGGTGGAGGCTGAGGCGGTTAAAAACATCAAGACCTCAGACGTGATTTCCTTCATCTGGAAAAACATTATCACCCGGTATGGGGTACCTATGTCTATGGTGTTTGATAATGGTCCTTAGTTTGAGACGCCTCAGCTAAAAACTTGGTTGGGAGATCAGGGGATCTCAAGCTATTTTGCATCCGTTGGCCGGCCCCAAGCAAACGGCCAAGTTGAAGCCTTCAATAAACTCATCTCAAACGGCATTAAGAAGAAAATAGAAAGAGCCGGTGGCTTATGGGCAGAAGAGTTAATCCATGTCCTATGGGCCATCCGGACAACAGCAAAGGGGGTAACCGGTGAAACCCCATTTCTCATGGTTTACGGTGCTGAAGCCGTCTTGCCCATCGAACATTACGAGCCGACTCTTAGAGTCATGCTATATGATGAAGAGGCAAATTGGGAAGCAATGCGTCTGGCATTGGATTCACTCCCAGAACGCAGGGGCAATGCCGCCTTGCGTCATGAGATTTACCGTCTGAGAATGACGAGAGCCTACAACAAAAAAGTACACAAGCGTCCTTTGAAAGTTGACGATTTAGTGTTACGAAAAATAGAGGCAACCGGTAGGGCCAATGAGCTGGGAAAGCTAACCCCAAATTGGGAAGGCCCCTACCGGATCTATGAAGAAGTAAGGGACGACACCTACCGCCTGGAAACTCTAGACGGAAGGCGCCTGACTAGAACTTGGAATGTAGATAATCTAAAAAAGTACTACTTCTAAGAATGTAAACTTTTTGTAAACAGTGAGTCAGTTAATGAAGATTCAGACTTTGTTTGCAAAATTGAGTTATCGTTTGATTATCCATCCGGGTAATATCCAGGCGGATTCCCCATTTACCTAACTAAGTTTGATACTTAGTGAAGGTTACATTTGTTTGACCGCCTGGGTAATACTCGGATCTCTTGTTTATTTAAGTTTGATACTTTGTTTATTCAACTGCTTGACTATCCGCCTGGGTAATACTCAGACAGATTCTCCATTTATCTAACTAAGTTTGATACTTAGTATGATCAAATATTTTCCTGTCCGTCTGGATAATACCCAAACAGACTCGTTTGTTTAAAAAACTGAGTTTGATACTTAGTGTAAATTCAATACTTTGACTAAAAACTAAGCACAAAAACGATTAGTGGCTATACAACCGGTCTCAAACAAGACTAGAGGCTAAAATGGCCGGATGGTTACTCATTTTATAAAATCGCATGTCCCAACATGGACAAAGGCGTTCGGCGACACCCCTCCGGGTGCAATCGTCGCAGAGAACAGACTATTTTTCGGTTCTACGCACCCATGCAGACGACAAAGATTGAACGACCTAATTGGTCAACTCATAGCCGTCTGACCAAAATGACCTGTGAAGAATGATCAAGTTGCCGAATACCGGATGCCATGGGGCATTAGCCGGTCACCGGCTGAAGGTTTCACTTAGGTTATCTATTCCAAAATTGCACTTCCCACCCCAATTGGGGCAAAAGAGTTGTTCAATGGCTATGAAATCTCTACCTAGACGGACAAACGTCGTCTGTGTAGTGGCTGGAACGCCTGTCGGTGTATGGCTGTGCACTTGGTTTGGGGCAATCACTATTGTGATTGATCGACTTGAAAACATATCATGCTCTTTACAGCATCAGATGTTTTCAAGTCAATCAACCAACTCCACTTGAAACCAACCACACAGCCGTCCAGGGGCAAGGACAGCCGAACTATTGATTAGTTAGGCAAAAATAAAAAATCGCCGCATGCTTTTGATAAGTTAGGCAAAAATGAAAAATTAAAATTTGCACAAAATAAAAATTCAGATGCAAAATGATCAAAACCGACTCAGTCGGTGCATTTAATAGTCCACCCAACCAAACGGTTGTAGTGGATTAAAATGTTAACCGGACCCCGTCCGGAAGAAAGAAATTGTTAATTAACACGGCTCCACAGCCGGTAAATACAAGGATACTCGGCACGCAGGCCGGAAAAAGCAAGTTTTGGCATACAACCGCTGAATAAAAGAAAAAATAAAAAAGCAGAGATTAGCATACTGCCGTTGAATGGTCACTTCTGGCCTGCAGACGGTGCCTCCTGGTCCTTCTCATCATCTGAGGGTATCTCCTGTGCTTCACCAGGACCAGGAAGCTCAGGCGCGGGCAGCTCGTTGTTGGAGTTGACCCAGGCTTCGACAGAGGCAGGCTCTGGCTCACCTTGTTCTCTCAAGTACACCACGTCCTCGACGTACCTGTGAGCCAGTGCCCAGGCGATCTTCATCCGGGCGTCATTGTCAGCGTCACTCTTAGCAACAAGGCGGTTTTGCTCCGCCTCCAGGGTTGCTGCAAAGTTTATGTGAGCCTGAGCAGACTCCTTCTCCAGCCTCTGAACCTTGGTCTTTAGTTTGGTGTTCTCTTCGGAAACACCTTTAAGTGTGCCAAGGTCCGTCTGGGCCTTCTTGAGCGCCTCACCAGCCTTTTTAGCGCTCTCGTCCGCCTTCCTTTGGGCCTCCTCCGCCTCCTTCTTAGCCGTCTCAGCATCCGTCGCCCGCTGATTGGCTGTCTTCAGATCTGACTCCAGCTGCTGGATTCTAGACGCCTGTGTCATAATTATTGCTTTAGTTTCAAGTTCATTTACGATAGTTGAGTGTAAAGAAATATTATCAGCGTCTATGGCGGACTTCTTGGCCCTTTTTACCTCTTCCCGTTTGCAGGAATAAGGACGTTTGAGATCGTCTACCCGCAGCATGGCCTGCAAAAAGTCAGGCGGTATAAGTATTGCAGGCGGGATAAAACACTTGGAATAAACAAAATTGAATTGACAAGTTTCTTACCTCAGCCAGAAGGGATAGAATGCGTTCAAGATTGAACGTCTCTATCCCAGGGATATTGTCCTTATCCCTCTTCCGGACGGCTTCCAGCATGGCCTTGGCATGCTTCTGGACGTCTGGCCAGCGGGGAGATTGATCTGCACCACAATCAATACGTGATGAGTGCGAGACTAAGGCGGCACCTATTTGTTGTCGGCCGTCTGAAGATGACGTATGTTGAGAATGGGATTTCACCCGTAAAGGCCACCCTAGCTCAAGCGGGGATTTAAAAGGGTTCTTACCTTAAGAGCCGGCCAAGCGGGAACCGCTTGTAGGCGTGGTGAACCCCGCGGCTGCTGATAAGGGGTTGACAAGATCAAGGCACAAGCTTCCGCCTACCTTCTCGAGTCGCCCCGCTATCCGCATCTGTTGATGCCCGACTGAGGCACCAGGAGTTGACGTAGAGGTGACTTTTTGATTTTGTTGAGAACGGCAGGGTTCTCCTCCGTAGCCCGTTTGAGTTGTTTCTCAAACGACTTTCCAACCTCTCCTCCCTGCAAAAATAACCAAAGTTAAGGATTAGCATCCGGGAAAAATGATTTTAAAGGATCAATTTGTGGAAGGGTCAGGCGTTTGATACCTTGGCCTTGACCTCAGCCGCAGCCTTCTCCGCAAGATCTTTACGGATGGTTGCAGAAGACCGCTTGGGAGTTTTCTCCGACTGCAACATGTTTAATGCTTCTTCTGAAAAAGAAAGAAATTGGTTAATATCATAAATCAATTTCGATAGAAAAATACTACAGATGGATATAAACTCAGGCGCATACGTTTTGTAAACATGTGTCCTAGCCCGCAGGCGGCTAGGAAACACTCATCCGTGAGCCAGGCGCTCTTGGGGATCCAGTTCTTGGGAACTTTTATTGTTTCCCCGGTTGACAGAGTTGCGTCTGTGAGGCCGAAAAAGTCTACCTCAATTATCTTGTTAAAATCTTCCTCTGGGATCCGGGGAAGAGTGCACTCCTGCCCAACAAGTCGGGCTTCTTATTGTACAGGCGGAATTCATAATTTTCCCGTCTGGTTGGGGCTGACATTAGGTAGAACCTGTGCTTCCAGCCATCGAACTTCGAGACCTTGTCCAAGGTCATCATATATTGAGGCTGCGTGGTTAGAGTGTACCACGCCCTCCAGCCGCCTGGGCTTCTGCTAAGATAATGCATACTAGCAAAAGCCTCCTAGCCGGGGTAAGTTGGGGGTAAGTTGCCAGATTTCCGAGGCCGTAGCCTCTCAAAATTGCCTTCACCGCCTGGTGAAGGGGAAAGCGGAGACCAGCCTTGAACGCCGCCTCATAACAGCCAAAATAGCTGTTGGCGTTTGTAGACACTCATTTGTGTCTCCCCAAAACCAAACCCGGTGATGAGTGCCTTTCACGTCGAATCATAATCGAATGAAACGAAAGTGTGGAAAGATCTAGTGTTGCGGAAAGTTTTATTTCTTTTCTTTTCTCTTCTCTCTGTTTTTGAAAACTTTATTTTAAGAAAACAGCCAATCCAGTTTGGTTGGTCCATGATATGGGTCCAATAGTGGTGTAGTTGGATGGGGTTTGCAAAGACATTTCCAACGATATATTATAAGCCCAATTCCGATGAATATTGAGGAAGTTATGGCCAATTTACTAAACTGGGCCCGGTTTGAGCTTTAAGTACGGCCCAATGATCTAGGGGAGGGCCTAATATGATTTATCATTCCTAATGTAATTAGGAATAGTTTTGGTCTTCTAGAACATTCTAGAAAGTTTTATCATTCCTAATTCAATTAGGATTCTTCAGAGTTTTAATTAGATCAAATAGCATTTTCGACTGAAATTATATTATTTTATCTTCCAGTACGGGAAATTTATCAGATTTTCGAAAACGCGTTGAAATCCAATTTGGCGTCCAACCCCAGGCCTTGGCGCCAGACGCAAGCCATTGGCGTCTGGCGCTAGCCACTGGTCCTGGCACCAATGAGCCAGGGCTGGCGCCAAGGTTGGTTTGTGGTCTTCAGACTCTGTTTTGATAAATTATCTTTTTTGGATGATTTTCTCTATAAATATCGTATTCAAAACTTCGTTTTTGTTCACGAATTCTGCTTATTCTTAAGTATTCATCATCTACATCTATCAGTCATCAATGATCAATATTCATTGACCAATAATCAACTCTTTTCATTAACAAATTGTTCGTTCATCAATTCTTTTCATCATCTTCATCTCTTTCATCAATAATTCTTAACATACATTCATTCGTTCTTTCTTTTCTAAACTTTACTTTTTCACACAAAATTCCGCATTCACAAGATCTAGAAACACCTAGCCATATTCGAAGTTGCCTTCGCCCTAGACGTGAAAGGTTTTAATTTCTGAGGGTTTGGTCCCAAATCTCTATTTCAATTATTTAATTTAATTGTTTTGATTATTATTTTCCTTGAAGTTACTAACGCGTGTATTTTGTTATTAGAAAGAGGTACGAGGCATCCAAGTAAGTACTTTAATAGTTTAATTGATATTATGATTCCTAGTATCATGTCTAGGGTAACTTTAATATTAAGTATGATTAACGGTATGATGCTTCCTATATTCTCCCTAATATTCATGATTATGATTGATATTATTGTTATTAATGATGTTGATTATTTCTTATGTTGCTTGATATGTATTATATTTTATTGTTATTGCTTGATCACCTTTTATTGCATGTTTAAAGGGAATTTGTACTTGCAACCACGCTTAATAAGATAATTTAATAATCTTGTTAGGTTAATTGTGATTATAATTCAAGTGATCGCCAATAATAGTTTATTTGTGCATTAATATTCAACCAACATAGATTAAACAAGTTTAGGGTTAATCCTATTGATTGTATGTTAATCAGGAAGCGCACATGAATACGATCAAAATAAAGTAGAGGCCTATTATTAGGGCAGGTTTAATCTCTTTTAGGTTGGATTTTTACCATCATCCCCGAACCCTTATTTGGTTCATGACCTTATGGAGTTGATGATCTCTTGGATCGTTAAGGGGTGTAACCTTCACCTCGTGAACGGTTTACAAGTTCCTTAAAAACTTGTTGGCGACTCTTTTGCCCTATCTTCTTCCCTTTTGGACGTCACCGTACTTTAGTGTATGATCACAGTGGGGTTCAAGCTAGTGGGATTTTTAAAGGCTTGAAACTATTCCCTACAGTTTTTGGCGACTCCACTGGGGAGGATTTCTATTTTAATTCCTGAATTTGTTTCGGCAATGATTTAGAATGAGTGGATGAGACTCGAAAAGTTCTAAGTATTTCATGTGCGTAATTTTGATTAACATTATTGTCATATGCATAAAAAGGTTCTCATTGGAAAGACCATCTGTAATGAGTCAAAAACATAGGATTTTACACGTAGGAAATTTGAGAAATGTCTTTCACAACTAGGACAGAAATAACACCGCGCGAAACTGGATGATTTTATTGAGCACAGAAAGCTGCAGAGGCATGTGGGAAGTAGCGTCAGGGGCCAGAGCTTGGGGCCACACTTTTTGCCGTAGCGCCAGACGCCAGTAGTGGCGCCAGACGCTACAGTTAAAAGTTGGCGCCAGTCTTTGTTTGCTGGCGCCAATTTCCCCCAATACCGAGCCAGAAATATGCGTTCTAATTTCGACCGGTTTTTCGTATTGTTTGCTCGATCCTACTTCCTGATTGAATTTTTTCTCACTTTTCTGAAACCCATATGTGTTCTACATATGGACATAACCCTCTGGGAATTCATGCTCTATCTACCCGATTGAACGCTCCTGGCAACAAAGGGTACATCTAAGAGGTTGAACGCTCTATCTAAAAACTCGCGGTGTTCTATCCACACGCGTTAACCCTTCACGGTTAGGCTTCTATGTGGTGCATCTGGACAATTAACCATGGACCCTATTTGACTAAACCATATCCCAAACTTTAGAGAACTAGAGCCATGGTTAGGTTGCGAACTCATTGCATCATATTGTGCCTACTTGACTACTTGTGCATTATTTGTTGTGCGTATATATCCTATGCTCCTCTTAACCGTTTGTTGATTTGTGTTGAGATTATAATTAATGACTTCAAGAACTTTGCCTAATTAATTAATTAATTAATTAATTCGAGTCAATAAATTTTTTTCTTCTTTTAATCGGAATTGACCTAGTACGACTTTAGGCATACTCCAGTTGACTAATAATATCGAAAACAATCCCAGACCGAGGCTCCAATATTGGTGCCAAAATCTGGGCTGTAGCGCCACTGTATGGTGTGTAGCGCCAGACATTTACTAAAAAGTCTGGCGCCAACCACCATATTGTGACGCCAGTCCTGTCCCTTGGCCGACAGTTCGGATTATTTGTCGAGTCATCACCTAATGTCTAATTAATCAGTTTCATGTTTAATTCGGTTAATTTTGCCGGCAATAATGCTTAATTGAATCAATATTCGAGTTTAGGCACTAAGTCCCATGGTCTTACACAAGAGTCCAAGCATGTCACTTACACTCAATACATACACTAATACACATGTCTTGACCATGATTAAGGGAGTCTTGTGTGCGCGCGTTATTTTTCGTCATTTTTTTTAGGGGGGTAAGTCGGATATTAATCCTCCAATAATAATACTTAAGTTCCCTAAACACATATACATTATTGCTCCCTAAAAATATGCATACTTTTTGCATACCCTTTTTTTTTATAAAAGCCATAAAGTCAAACTGATTCGAGTTAAGTAATTAAAACGCAAATTGGCTTAATTTACAGCGCGTGGTCAAGAAAGGAAGGACGATTAATCAAAGATAACCTCTTCGTACAAGTCCAACTTTTCGACAAACCTATAGCTCGCAAGAGGAAAGCAAGAGTTATAATGGAAACTTAGGAAGAAGTTAACGATCTCAAGAACCAACTGGCTACTGTAACTGAGACACTAAAGCTTCTCGCACTTAAGATCGAGGATCCCGCGAAGCAACAACAAATGGACCTCATGCAAGAAAGTCTAAGCAAGTTGTCCAGCGACTACAAGTTTCAAGAACTCACATCCCAAGGGGTCTCGGTGGATAAGGATCTTCTTCCGCAGAAGTTCAACGCCAACAACATCCCAAAGTTTAGGGCAATCGACAACCCCTACTTCCATCTAAGGGCATTTGAAACAATAATGAGTATCAAGGGTATCAATAGGAAAGTTTTCCCGTCTCTATTCTCGCTATCTCTTGAGACCGTTTGCCAACAATGGTTCTTTTCTCTTAAAAAAGAAAAGACCTCTACCTGGGAATCCATAGCAAACGCTTTCGTCGATAGGTACAAGTGTAACGTTCAAGTCGAAACTGACCATAGAGAACTTGAAATTCTCAAACAGAAGGAGAATGAAGGCTTCACATCTTTCTTTAACAAGTGGAGAGAAACCTCAACTAAAATGATTGAGGTACCAAGTGAAAAAGAGTCCGTGAGACTGTTCATTAAAAATCTCCAAGAAAAATATTCAAAACATCTTAAATATCAAAATAACCTTCATACCTTTAAGGCTGTTTATGATATTGGGATTAATATTGAAGATGACTTAGCTAAATATAAAGCTGCCAACAATAACTCCAACAGTGGCTGGAAAGGAAAGAAGAACGACAATCCTTCTTCTTCCAAAACCGCCCACTCGAATAATGTTAGCGCCTTTAATCTGGGAGAAGTCCTCGCCATGAACAATCAAG